CTTTTTTGGATTTTTCTACCTGGATTATTGAGCATGCATCAGGATATCTGAACAAATCTGACAGTAGACCACCATCTAGTGGCCACATTCCGACAAGACACCATGAAAAGTTGAACAGTTTTTAGTTTATTTCTCTGTTTTTGTGTTTGTTCTCTTTTTGTTTCAGCGGCAGGACTTACTTCATGAGGTTCTGTCAGCAGAGTTAGAAGTTCTGGTCCAGTATCGGTTGGCTCCAGCACATGTGGGGTTAAAATAACACGAAACAGGTCATCATCGAACAGATAAGAAGTTAAAGACTATAAAATGTGTGCTGTCTTCACCTCTGTGGGTCTGTGTAATTTATCCTGTGTACTTTGCTTGTTTGTTTCTGCTGCACAGCCATTGGGTCGGTCTTGGTGCTGTTTCAAGTTCTTCATAAATGAAGTGGTATGGTAGGTCTCTCTGTTGGCTGGGAACTCCTTGGAGTCCTCCCAGAAGACGTGAGAGTGATGTCTGGACCTCCCTGCTCAAGATGCTGCCCCCGCAACCCGACTTAGAAATAAGTGGAAGATAAAGGATGGATGGTGGATGGATGATGGATGATTGATGGATGATGGATGAATGATGGATGATGGATGGATGATGATGGATGATGGGTGGATGATGGATGGTATGGTAGCGTGATGAATCACACTCCACACCAGCTGGTGGCGGTAATGCCTCCAGGTAACCTTCAGTTTTTTTTAACCAACGGCCAACACCTCAAGAAGAAGAAGAGCTTCACTTCCGGTGTAAATTTTGGAGGACAGCTTCACTTCCGGTGTATATTTGGAGGACAGCTTAACTTCCGGTGTATATTTGGAGGACAGCTTCATGGCTCTGACCGTGACCCGGTTGCTCGTCCCGGCGGGCTCAGCTGCTCTCAGATCGGGGAACTTTATTCAGAAGGTGAGCTCCAGAACCAGCCTGTTTGGGTTCGGTACCGGCTCGACTAACGGCTGTAGCTTACAAGGACAAGCTTAGCTTAGCTTAGCTTAGCTTTAGCTGCCAAGTTGGAGAGGGCCGCCGGCGGGTGACGGTCTGTTGAGGAGGACTCTCCGCTACTCTGCTGCCGCTTCAAACTAACTGATGGCAGCTCTTTGACAAATCCCGTTTATAACCTCGAGTAACGGACAGTGTGTGTGCAGCGGCTGTGAAGTCTTGTTGTGTGTCCCACAGGCGGGTGTCCACCGGAGCCCGGTGAGAAGCCTGCAGTACGGTGCGCTGGCCTACATGCTGGGGGAGTGGACCAGTCCACGACTCCACAAGCTCAGTAAGATCATCACTGTGGACGGAAACCTGGCGTCAGGAAAAGGAGCTCTGGCCCAGAAACTGGCTGAGAGCCTGGGTGAGGATCTGTCCACACTCGTCTGTCCACTCTCGTCTGTCCACTCTCGTCTGTCCACTCTCGTGTGTCCACACTCGTCTGTCCACACTCGTCTGTCCACTCTCGTCTGTCCACTCTCATCTGTCCACACTCGTGTGTCCACACTCGTCTGTCCACACTCGTCTGTCCACTCTCGTCTGTCCACACTCGTCTGTCCACACTCGTCTGTCCACACTCGTCTGTCCTCACTCGTGTGTCCACACTCGTCTGTCCACTCTCGTCTGTCCACTCTCGTCTGTCCACACTCGTGTGTCCACTCTCGTCTGTCCACTCTCGTCTGTCCACTCTCGTCTGTCCACTCTCGTCTGTCCACACTCGTCTGTCCACTCTCGTCTGTCCACTCTCGTCTGTCCACTCTCGTCTGTCCACTCTCGTGTGTCCACACTCGTGTGTCCACACTCGTCTGTCCACTCTCGTCTGTCCACACTCGTCTGTCCACTCTCGTGTGTCCACTCTCGTCTGTCCACTCTCGTCTGTCCACTCTCGTCTGTCCACACTCGTCTGTCCACACTCGTCTGTCCACTCTCGTGTGTCCACTCTCGTGTGTCCACACTCGTCTGTCCACTCTCGTGTGTCCACACTCGTCTGTCCACACTCGTGTGTCCACACTCGTCTGTCCTCACTCGTGTGTCCACACTCGTCTGTCCACACTCGTCTGTCCACACTCGTGTGTCCACACTCGTCTGTCCACTCTCGTCTGTCCACACTCGTCTGTCCTCACTCGTGTGTCCACACTCGTCTGTCCACACTCGTGTGTCCACTCTCGTCTGTCCACTCTCGTCTGTCCACTCTCGT